TATTCTTTTTGGGTGAAAAACCGGAAAAAAAACGTCCCCAAAAAAAAAAAAAAAAAAAAAAACTGGAACTGCAGCAAAAAGTCATTCAACAAAGTTTTGACCAACGGGAGATGAAAACATGTGCATGCCACACTTTTTAGATTTTTATTTGTAAAGCCTGTAAAAACAAAAAAATATTTTTTGTTTTTACAAACAAAAAATTATGTACTGCTTTTGTTGTTGGTCTGTCACATAAAACCACAAAGCAAAACAATGAGGGCTGTGGTTGTAAAGTGATAAGCAAATGAAAACGTTCAAGAGGTTTGAAAACTTTTGTAAGGCACTGTAAAGTGATGATGTTAAGAATAATCCTTCTGACGGATTTAAATGTCCGCTGATTAAAACCAGCACTAACATTTGATTACTGTGCTGCTTTTTGGAGCAGAAAAAAACTTTCATTAAGCCTTTCCCTTGAATTCAAAAGTCTGTAAGGCCTTAATTACCGCTCTGATATTTCGTCATAGCTGGGATTAGCATGGATGATGAATGGCAATGCACAGATCCAAAAGTGCACTGATTAGAAAATGGAAACAAGCTTTTAATACAGTTTGTTTCCTATTTTCTCACAAAATTCAACATCTTCCAAGTGCACCTTGCGAGGAGAGGGGTGGGTCGCTTGAAAGTTAGAAATATTTCTCAAGGAATGCTGTGCTGCAACCAGCCAAAATCAACTTCCGCTCCATTCTGGATATTAGCTCATTTTCACCAAATGGCCCTCTGGAAAGTCATGTTGGAGGACGGGGTGTGGCGGGTCCTTCTGTAACCCGCTCTGTGTAATCAGGACTACAAGATTATTGCCTGGTTCCTTATCTTTCTAAACACACAGAGGTGGGCTGAGATTGTATCAGCAGCGCTTGGGGGAAATTAACCAATAGCTAAACACCACTAAAGCACCAATAGGGGCGAATACTAAAATACAGAAGGGAAAATATTTACAGTACAAGTATCGAAGAAAAGGGCCATGCTCAGTTTCAACAAGAAGGTTTCCATAAATTGTAAAGCTCTATGATTACAATAACATTAATCAGTGCTTTGGCACCATTGTTTGGCAGCTGCAGATGACTGTTTGCATTCTGACAACCATCAGTTCCTTAATACTCCCGTTACAGCAGAGGTGAAGGAGCGCTGGCACCCACAGTGCTCCCACTCAGGATGCACTGAACAGCTGCGAGGCCAGTAAAAACAAACTCACGCCGGGCGATAAGAAAAACTTGGTGACAACCCCAAAGAGCCGTTCGCCCGCATTGGTGAACCCCTGTGCAACCTGACGGGATTGACGTCTATACATTAGGCTCCTTTATCAATTCAATAACAATACATCAGATTTCCTTCCTTTCGTGTTGCAAGTCATGGAGAGGAGGTTTCCATGTTGATTGTCTGCGTTGTTGAAACTGAGCAAGAAGGCAACATTAACACACATCTTCCAACTTCATAATCCATAATGGCCATAACATGTACATCCAAACAAACAAAAAAAAGTTTCATAAAACAGGAAAATGTGTGGTTCCTTATCTTTCTAAATATAAATGTCTAAGGCTTACCTGGTTTTGGAGGCTTTCCTCCTTGCCCTATTGGGGAAAAACATAAGCATGGTTTTTGTGAACTGCATAAAATCTTCGGTACAAAAATATTTTATTCTGCCAATGCAGACAATTCACAAGTTGATTTAGTTTGTTTACAACTTTGATGAAAATTTATGGCCTGTTTGCAGGCCATAAATCCAACATCATACCTGCTGGCAGGCCTCCGTAGCTAAGGCCGCCCGTTCCGACTCCTCCTGGTACCAAACCGCCGGTCCCAGCACCTCGGCCTCCACCGCCATAACCTCCTAGTGTTGCAATCAGAATCACACATGTGCTTGTTTGATATGCATGCTGAATTTTACATATCACAATGAGAAAAATTCTATCTGACTTAACTATTCTGAAGAGAGCAACCGTCTTGCTCTGAGCATGTTAACAGGATATGCGGTATTCTTTATTCATGCAGTCTGTCAGGAACTATGACCCGTAGGTCAGGATGTCTGACCTGGCAACACCCAGAAAAACGTGTTTATAGACAGTAGCGTTGGAAGCCGTCCACTAAAGGAAAATGACCATCAGGGTTTAGGTTTTCTTTGGAAGTCCTGAAACAGCAGACTGGCACCAGGTGGGGAAAAAAGACTGCAGCTATTGCGACTCCAAAAGCAAAAATTTGGGTTTAAGAGAAATCTGGAGAAGGGCTTTTGGTTGACCTCAAGAAAGTTCTGGGGAAAACTGTTGAACGACTCAGAAAGGGAAAGCAGGGTCCAGCTAAGGGTCAGTATTGTTTATGGCAGCAACTGTTGATGCTGACAGGCATTATTCTTAGGTAATGGAAGGAGCACCTTTAGGATCTTCTCAATTCGGTCATAAGATCCTTCTCAGAGGAGGCAGAACTTGATACTTAGTTGTAGTTGTACTCGGAAGTGGGAAATTACGACTTCCCAGTCGGGAAAAATCAACTGGAACGCCCTCCAAAGTTGGATTTCCCACTGGGAAACTGGGCGCAACTCCAACTAACCCCAGTTACGGCTTGTTTTAAGGTCGACTTCATGTTTCAATATGGCCGCTCCTCGCAACAACAGTAGTAAGATATGGTGGAAACATGCCTGTTTTACAAGACGCACATGTAACAGTGCCTCTAACGTTAATGTTAATGTAACGCTTACATCTCTAAGCTTAACAAATCAATGACGTTCAGAAGCTCAGAATCAATGAAGCTCAGAAGACTGCGTAGTCTCTGGGCGTCGCCATGTTGAAATTTCGACTTCTCAACTAGAAGGCTGTTACCTTAGGTCTGACGTCAAACCCAACTCCGAGTGAAGACTTCCCAGGTAACTGGACCATAGTGTGAGCACTCAGGAGAAAACCTCTTAAGTCTTTTGCCATTGAGCAGGTTGCAAGTTCATTAAAAAGCTTCCGAGTGGAAAAGCCAATTCCGATGGAGTGACGAGCCTTGTGTTTTTAAACACATACTAGTCCTAAACGTAGCGTCAACTACGAACCAGCCAAATTTGCAGTACCGTAATTCTGCCATACTTTACGCTAACTGAAAAATTCCAACGGTTTCTGAAAGGAGAGACGTTGCGCTTTCCAGACAATATTTGGTTATTACGGTAATTTCGCCCCCGGGGAGTGACATTAATCTGAGGGGCACTCTTTTATTAGACGGAGTTATATCTAGCGAAAATAACTCGCTAGATATTGAAAGTTCCAGTTGTTATTGATAAATGGGCAAATATATTTACTCACAGGACATTTAAAGAACTGCGTACAATTAAAATAAGCAAATTTATCCAGGCGGAGATTTTAAATTTAGGACAGTAAGGGTTGGGAAGGGGGACCTTAAAGTGTTTTCATAAACATAATGACGTCTACTCAGGCATCCAAAATGCTGCTTTTAAAACCTTGTATCACTTTCTAGTTGGTGGTTATTTGCATCTTGAGTCATTTATAGTAAAGACAGACTTGTCATTGGTCCTTAATAGTGTTCTAAAGAAAGCATATTGCAAAATGAATGTTTCTTTGCATCATTTTGAGTTGAGAGAGTAATCTACCATTGCTAAGATCAATCAATGTCTTGAAAAAAACTCTTTAAAACTTGACAAAAGTAAACTATCCTTTTAGCACAGTAGTTGTCTGTGGATGCTTGATTTATTCTCTAACACTGCAGTAAATTAGTTGTAGATTCTCACTCAGTATAAGAAGTAAATCTAAGGTACTCTGTGATCTGAACAAACCACTGACTGCTAACAGGACCTCTTCTCTTCACAGCAGCTAACTGTTCCACCTTGTGTTTGTTTAACTGCTGAATGTTCCAACAAACATAAAGATGTCAAATGTTCAAAGGTCACAGCAGTCTTCCTGCAGCCGTAGCTTTAATATTTTTGGCTTTAAAAAGCTGCACAGGGTCAAACTTGTTCAGCAAATGGGAGCTGAAGGCTGGCCAGCATTATGAATACAGAGTGCGACCTGCTGCTAAATTGAGCCGTGCTTCAGACTTGTGAGTGATAGATGTGTGAAGTGACAAGCAGCAGACAGAATGTGTGCGGCTTTGCAGCAAGCCCAGTGGAAGCATTGACCACTTCGTCATCAAAAATAATGAGAACAAAGAAAAGCATATTTAGAACACCTCATAAAATCCGCATCTTTACATTTTAACTCATCTAAATTACTAAAAAATAATTGTTTGATATTGTAAATATCCTGAACCCAAAGACTCTTCCACTTACCTCCAGGTTTTGCTGGTTTATAGCCTGCAGGACCACCTCCAGCTGACCCTGTAAGAGTCACAGATTCAAGTTTAAAATTTATTTGGAACAAAAACTAAATACAGACATTTATTTTGGGTTTACTATCTTCAACCATCAAATTATTTAATGTCATCCAACTCAACAGGGATTTAGAAAATTAAATCAGCTGCAAACGTGTTGTACCTCATGTTTTCTCCTCTACAGTAGTTTAATAGCCCACTAAAGACAGATTAGTTTGCTGGAGTTGTTTTCGGTTACCTGGAAAATATCCAGTCCCTGGCAAAGGAGCGCCTGGTCTATATCCAGTACCAGGTGGCACATACACACCTGCAACACACATTGGGGAAAAAAGAACAACAAAAAAAACTTTTTAATCATCTGTGTGTCAGAATGAAACTTTATCAGGCAGTCACCATTTCTCATTTTCCCCTTTTCCATTCTAATAGCTTTTATTTCTAAACAAGAATCCCATTTATTAGGCAAACATTCTCAAACACATTCATCAGCCTGGAAACCGAGCAGAACCACGAATATCTGTCCTTGATGATCACATCTGGGGCTCATCACAGCTGTGATGAAGTGCACGGCGAAAGGTGAAAGCTGCTGGAGTCAGAGCGAAAGCAGAACTTCATGGATTTCCAGAAGAGTCCTGTTGAATTGTTCTCATACTGATGAGGCACCGCAGCTTTGGGTCGAGGAATTTGCAGCAGCACCCCGTCAACCCCCACCTGCGTCATCCCCCACAGCTTTGTCTCTGGCTGGAACTGCTCAGATGTTCGCTCCGGACTCTAGACATGATGGGCTCATGTGTGCAACAAACACCAAGAGCACAAGAACCTCGGTTTTTTTTTTTTTTTTTTTTTTTTTTGCAAAGAGGATTAAAAAGAATTACAGGTTGTTCTGGGACAAATAACAACTAAATCCGATGGGACGGGTGAGCTAATGCCTAAATTACAAAAGTATACTCTGAAAATGCTGGTTCGTATCAAAAAACACAATGCAATTGAGAGAGCTGGGGCAGTCGGACCACAGTGATTATGCCTAATGGCTCTTACATGTGGTAGGAGACCAATTAATTTAAACCACATGTCAAAGACGTTCATGTGTTTATTAGGGAAGACTGTGTGAACTCAGTCCTTCACACTGGCTGTGGCCGTTAGGAGAAGAGCATTACAAGGCATTACTGTCTGGTCTACCAGCAGGGATATTTATGATACCTAAAAAAACGTAAAATCTACACAGTTTGATGAACTGGATTCCTGCTTTAGTACATTTAAATCCAGGATGGCTATGAGTCTTTCACTAATGAGAAGTGTAATGTACCTTCGGTTAGTGCCATGATGAAATCCCACTTTGCTTTATTGGACAGCTAAAGCTCAGGAAATGAAAAGAAAGTGCAATTGAAAAGGCATTCAACATGAAAACCAATGAGCCATCTTCTATGGTGTGTGAAGACGTGTTTTTATAATGAATTAATAAAAATGTAGAAAGGATGAAACTCTATAAATCACTGTCAGCCTTTCCAATACTTTACAAAGCCAGCATGTAAAATTAAAACCCTTTTTCTGAAACGGAAACAAGCCTTTTGGATTCATAACCGGCAAGACGGAAAGATAGTTCCATATATCGGTGACGATGTAACAGCATTGTCTATGACTGAAGAGAAAAAAAATTATTTTCTTGATAAAACATGTTAACAGGATGAGTGGTCATGTGTCAGTCGACAGAAAAATGAAAATGTGAGTGCTTCTGCATGAACAGGAAGCATGGGGAAGCTCCATGAAAGCAAATGCTCCCACATACTTCATTGGAAGAGACTCAGTCGACTTAATCCAGACGGCGTGACGAAAACTGCATCATTTTTATTCACAGAGAGGCATCTATCTGCCAAAGTCCGCACCGGGCCTGGGTTGAACTACAAGGCACATCTTTGTGCAAAGAGCTGTGTGACTGGTCAGAAGTTTGTTGCTATGATTTATGTGGAAATGCGCTCAGATTGCAATGCTGATGTCTCAGTTTAACCAGTCTGCTTCCACTGTCTGGTGTTTGAATCCACAGGGGGGGGGGGGGTGAATACTTTTTGAGGAACGATTGTTATGCCAAGTTTTTACAAGACTTCGCTACATAACTTCAAAGACCGTCAAATGGCTAAAAAAAAAAAAAAAAAAAACACGCCTGGGGGAAAAGTGTGGCGCTCTCTCAGTGACCGTTTTGTAAGAGTGAAACGGAGGACGCAGGGAGGAAGTAGGAACCCTGCTGGATAGGAGCCTGACGTCCCCCAGGTGGCCTGCTCCATGTGTGCTGGTGACTTTATACCCTGAGCAGCACTTTGGCTAGCTGTTAATGTCTTAAAATGTACTATGTAAAATATCTTGCACTTCTCAGTACAAAGCATCAGCTGATGTATATTGTGTTACATCAATATCTGGTCTCTTAAAACTAATTTACTGTTTATCCTCAATAATAACATACGGTAGGGTCAACTCATTTTTTCTTATTCCTCATGATTCATACGAGGAAGCGAACGTTTGCTAGAAGATGCCATTCAAGTATTTACTCTTCCCTCCACCGCAGGTGCAGCATTAGCAGAAAGCTACGTTACTGTGGGTCAGTTTTGCCGTCACAAGTAAAATATGGATCGAACATATGCAGAGGAAAGTGAGACTTACAATCATTGCATGGCTCATTAATACGAAGTATTCTGGTGACAGATAGATGAAGTGCTGCCCCCCATGGGCAACAGAGTAACAGCGCTGGTCAGAACTGACGCCGATGTTGCAACATCTAGCCTGACCACTGCCAGAATTTTAGTGTTTTGAACGGTTTTTGTCACAGTTGTTCACTATTGTCATAAATTACAGGCACACTGGGCTCGCCGCAATGTGCTCAGAGAACATTTTCTTCCGACTTCTTGCTTCCCACTTGAGAAAATTGCTTTCTCAAATCTGAGCTGCAGGCTTTTCTATCACTCCTTATGTCTTGGGCGGACTTTGTGATACGGGTTGATCCCGAGTTAAGCAATGGAAGCACAGCATCATCACTCTTGGGCACCTTTTAGCTTTTGTTTTTTTTTTTTAAACTTTGTTTATTTTAAAATAAAATCTTGATCTCTGTCATTGAGCTAATGTAACTTTAATAAGCTATAAGCCGCAAAATTATACAGAAAAACTGATATATGCCCCATGCTGGGATGCCACTCAAATGTGCTGATCCACCAACGGTCTTTCGTAAATTGAAAGAACAACAATATTCCTTTATACAAAGCAAATCTGTGGTCACAATCTAATCGGAAGGACATCTGCTCGTGATCACGAACAAAATCTTTTCTTCAGCAGGGAGCCAAAGAGGGCTTACAGTCAGCCTGATTACGTTGAAACCGGGAGAATGTGGCTTCTCTGAATAGACGTGTTAATGGCAACAGTTACAGTGACAGCTGTGCATGATTTCATGAATGAGCAAATAATTTAGAAGATCAGAGAGCTAAACAATGGCGGAGCTGCTCAAATTTCCCGTGGTTTGGCCTTGCAGCACTGACCAAAAAGAGCTGAAAATCCTGCAGACTAAAAAACTGAAACTACAACAATAAATGTAACATCTGTGAGAAATGTAATATCTGTGTTTATGAGCATCTGACATTTTGTCCTTTCGAATAGATCATATATAGTCATTAACTGACGAAGGGTGTGGAGTGATTGTTCTCATTTTCGCTCCTTCGTTTTACATTCAAAAGAAGGATTTCCTGTCTTGGCAGGAAAGTGGAAACTTCGAGTCTGTGAGCAGCACTTTTTCCTCTAGCTTAAAACCCATATCTTGCTTCTGGTGCATTCTTACAGAGTGCATGAAGTTCACAAAGATGGCAAACGCTGACTTTTGCCAGGAGAAGAATTTTTTAAAAACTGCCTCCTGATCATTTTAATTCAAGTCACCGTCCACCGCCTGCATTCCTGGAGAACTCGACCAGGTCATGGGAATAAGCTGGAATGTGGTTCAGGGGGTAAAATTATCCAGGAAAAGAGATCAGATGAGGCTGAATTTATGCAGGAGTTAACTCAGGTCAAGAGTTTACTGTTTGTACTGTTTGAGTTGTAGCTAAGTTTGACAACTAGAAAGCTACGCAAGTAAGAGAGCAAAATGACTTGAGTCAGGCACTTTTTATTATTGCAATTTCACACATCTAAAATAATACACAAGTCTAAACCAAGTTACTTCATTCAGTTTGTTGTAAAACCAAATTTAGGAACAAGTGCTCTCGACTCTAATGATATTAAAAAGCTACTGATTTAGATAATTTCTAAATAGAGATGAAGTTCGCCATAAAATAAATTCTGCCCAGCTGTATGCATGTTTAATCCTGATCAATGCCGTGTTTTAAACGTCACAGTGGAAAACAGAGGGGTGATGTGTTTATCATCTGTTTAGCTGGCAAAATAATTTAGCATTAAAAAACAGATGATTTACTACAAAGTCTAACCGGGAACATTTATTCTGTGTGGATTTTGTTTTATGGATAATAGCGGTTGTTGCACCCAAAACTAATGACTGAACATTAAAATGTTTGGAAATTTTAAGTCAGAAAACTTGTTTTGTTTTCGGATCAAACTAAAGCCAATGATGTGTTTTTCCATAGTACCTCCCATGTTAACAGCGATTTTTACAACCGTTCTTTGTGTGTTTTAGTTCATTTACAACAACCTGGTGAGTAATTTGACATTTCCCCGATCCCTGTGCTGTGGTTGTTTAATGCCTGGCTGCTAGGGATGACAATTACCTTTCCTGTAGGGGCACAAAACAAATTAAAGTGGGTGCAAGAGAGATATACATGGAGAAATGAAGACAGATGGTGGTGTTTTGCTTGAATAAACAGTTTACATAACATGATCATAACGGACAATTTGGTAAATTTTGAGGGAAATTGCTGTGAAATGTTTTTATCACTTATTCAGGTTCGGCAACAAAGCTTCTCACACCATTGAATTGAATACATGTGCAAGAAAATCACAAACCTGTAGCCCATTGGAGTTCACATGTATGCAGAAATGTGAAAAAGATGTTTTGCCCTCTCAGTTTTTTTTGTTTGTTTTTGTTAATTTGTAAAAGTTTCGGATCAAACTAGTTTTAAAATACCGTTAAGGGAAATAAAGATGCCCATACCAATCTGACCCTAAGTAAAAAAAAAAAATAAAAATTAAATATGTGATTAACCACATTTTTTGGGTTCAGTTCCTTTAGCCACACCATGTCCAAACTACAAAACTACATGGCCTGTTCAATCAAAAATAATCTAAAATAGGGCAGTGCAACAACACGAAGTAATCTAAAGAAAATCT